CCCTATTGCCCGGGGGCCCCATGAGTTGTCAGTCCGCCCCTGCTTCCAGTATCATTCCTTTCTTTTTATCATGAAAATAATTTCAATTTCAAAATACTCTTTATGGAAGTTACTTTAAGTGGTATATACAATTCTTACTAGCACCCTATATATTTCTATAAAAAACTGGATCAGCATTAGTCAAATTAATAGAAATATAAATACTTCTTAAGAATTTCATTGAGGGGATTGTGAACATCATTAGAGTTCTTAATACTGGCAAATTGTAATTAGTAGCAGAATATTTGTTTAGCCTGAGACTCATTAAACATCACCTTTGGGTTTCACCTAATTACAAGCTTACAACATTTCTCTTGTATGGGTCTGAATTTTAATCGAATATAATTAAAGTAAGGTTTCAAAGTTTTTTTTGGACCTGTTTAATGGAAAATCAGTTTGAATAAAAACTTCCTCAGCAACACTTTACAGTAATGATTTGCTGAAGGATATTATAGTACAATGTGTAAAGATGTTACTTAATGTTGACTATAAAACATTAAACCTTTTTGATGTTACCATATGCATTACTAAATACAATTGAGATAGCACCTAATGCCCTTAGCAGTAAAAATGGTTGTTGATTTTGAGGCTGTACTGTACACTTTAAAAAAAAATTTCACATTGAATAGTGAAAAATTGTTAAAAAAAAAGGTAATCATCTGTTTACTTTAAATATCCAACTGTTAGCACAGAAAATGAAAAATAAGAATTAAAGAAATTTTATATTATATATTAGTTGATTGAAGTGATCACATCTTTATCTTATTTACTAAGCTGGGTGAACATTCACTTTACTAAGTGAACAGTCTCTATTCATTTAGTCAAACCTATGTGATGCATTTATACAAAAAAGTAATAGCTATTTGCCCATCAAAAGTGAAGTGTGGAAGAAAGTGTAAATTTTTTCTGTGCAAATAGGGAAAAAAAGTGATGTTTATTTAATCTTTCCTTGTGCTGGTCAAATGTTTTTCATTTATTTAAAGCAGAAAATACAACATTTGACTACTAGATGGTGCTAAGGAATTTCTTATGGGAACAGTAAAGTAGCAAAGGGAAGGAGAATGAGAAGGAATGAGATTAGAAAAATGCAAACTGTTCATCCAATTTATCCTGTGAAAAAATATTATATTATATTATTATATTATATATTGTTCCTTTGATGAACAAGGGGACAAACCTTGTCTTCATAGCTTTAGAAAGTGCATATGTAATACATATTTAAGAGTATGATAGTGGAAATCAGCAAAAAACATAGTAAATAATAGGGTTAGTGATGTACTTTTACATTTATTCAAACAAGAAATTGAGTATATGCTTTTACATATTATGTTAGTATACTTATTATGTGGCAAAATACTAAAATGCATGTAAAAGATATAGAGGAGAAGAAGAGGAAGATCACTGATATGCTCCAAGAAGACTAATACAATCAAATATTATATAAAGATAAAGGAAATAAAAATAGTATATTGACTTGGGAATGTGAAAAATCAGAGGGTCTGATTTGCAATGGTGCTGTGAATCTGCCAGGGCTGTGCTACTTTAAAGAGTGCTAAATAGACATGCAACCTCATTAATGAAACTCTAGATGGCTGTGGCTAAACCTAGCACAAGATATGTTTTATTTTAGTTAGATATACTGTATGTCTTGGGTTGTACAGCAAACTATAAAGAAGTCTAGGCAGACTACACATAATATGGAGTAAAAGGGTATATTTATTGGGTTCTAGTTGTATGAAGAGTTAAGCAAGTTGAAAGTCAGAGAGAAAACCAATGAAACCTATCCATACAAATGAATACAAAAGCAACCAACCCTATCTATTTTCCCTAGTTAAAGTAGATAAAAATATAAACAATTAATTATTGGAGACTTCTATCAATTCTGATGGTCTATACATGTGTCTGGATGATCAAGATTTCCTTGGTTGCTCATGGACCATGGTCATAGCTGGTACAACTCTTCCAGTCTCTAGATTTGTGTGTCTTCCTTCCAGGCTCCAGTTCTGTGTTCAGCACTTGGTTGTGCTTTCTCATTTCTTTCCTCCTCCCATTTCCTAGCAACATCATTTCCTGTTTAACTAGCCTTGTCTGAACCAGTTAAACAACTTAATTCCATTTAAATAGAGGAGGCCCAACTAATGTCTAAAACTGAACTCTTTTTTCCAGATGGTAGCTAAAATTATTGTTTTCTAAATATTTATGCTATAAAAATCACTAAAATAGTCATGCCAACACAAGCTAGAAATGCCAGATTCATGATAGCGGTTTGGAATATACATGTGGCATATCAAGAGAAGAGAATGTTACAAATACTGAACTTTGAAAGGCTAGTGTAACCATGGGAGCGCCAGCATGAGAAATTTTGTGGTCTAGAGCAGTGGTCTCCAAACTGCGGCCCGGGGGCCGGATGTGGCCCTTTGCTTGCTCTTGCCAATGATGGGGCACAGTTCATCCCAATGACATAAATAATGGGACCTAATGACACCAAAGATGGGGCACAATTTCTCCCAATGACACCATTGATGGGGCACAATTCCTCTCACTAACACCAAAGATGGGACATTGTTTGCTCCCACTGATGCCGGGACATTTTCTGGTCTGGCCACACTATAGTCTGTAGGACCGTAAACTGGCCCTTTTCTTAGAAAGTTTGGAGACCCCTATTAACCATAGATATGTTTAGTTTGATGAATTCGGCCACCATTGATTTCAGTGGTGTTCAGATTAGTTGGTCCAAACTTCTTTGAAACAAGACCAGGGCAGTTCAGCTCATTTCAAATTTCTAATCTGTAACAACAATAGAACAAGACATGGCAGCACCCATACTTTTCATGACAGTCATTTAGGTTTGTAGGCAGATCCTAAAACGTGTGTATGTTTCTTTGAGAATAATTTCAGTCAAGTGAAATCTTACATGTATATCAGCCCCTACAAGATTATCCAGCATGTTTTGTGGCATATAGTTGAGTAGACAAAGACCACTCAGTAGTTTGGAGAAATACTGTGCATTCAAGTATATTAAAAAGGCAACACTTTTTCCTTTTTGGCTAGATTAGGGAAGAATGTATAATCCCTATACTTTGTTATTATTTGTTTTTAGATCTGTGTCTTATTCAGGGAAATTTCACATTCACTCCTTGAGCTGTAGACTTAACAGGAAGTGAGGAGATATACAGTGAAGGAATAAGTATTTGATTCCCCTGCTGATTTTGAATGTTTGCCCATTCACAATGAGCTGAAAGTTCAAGTTGCCAAATCGTCAGCCACCAAACCTGAAAGACTTGGAGAGGATCTGCCAAGAGGAGTGGGCCACAATCCCTCCTGAGAATGTGTGCAAACCTGGTGGCTAACTACAAGAAACGTCTGACCTCTGTGATTGCCAACAAGGGATTTGCCCACCAAGTACTAAATCATGTTTTGTGAAGGGGATCAAATACTTATTTCCCTCATGAACATGCAAATCAGTGCATATAATTTGTTAGACATGCATTTCTTTTGAATTTTTTGTTGCTATTCTGTCTCTCAGTGTTATAATACACCTACCATACGATTTTTTAGAAGACTGATCATTTCTTTGTGAGTGGGCAAACATTCAAAATCAGCAGGGGATCAAATACTTATTTCCTTCACTGTATTTCATTCTCGTAGTGACACTGACGATCAGAGGAATTAGGCTCCATTCACACCAATGCGTTTTTAGTGCTTTTTGCAGAAAAGCAACCGCAGTCCATGTCCATAACATGGTCTCCTATGGAACATGTTCACATCTATGCTTTTTTGAGCTGCTGCATTTTTTGAAAAAAGGTCAGAACTTTTTAAAAGCAAAAAGTAGCATTTTTACTACAATAGATTTTCAATGGAGAAATCTGCTGAAAATGCATGGTCGTGCATTTTTGTGGCCATGTTTTTGTGGCAATTTTTTGCCACTTTTTTGCATTTTATTCTGCCCAGCAAAAATAAAAACTGCATAGATGTGAACAGAGCTTAAGAGAGTACATCTCCCAAATAGGGAAACATATAGCAATCCAAACCTGATAGTGGTGTCAACCCATCTATCATTATGCTATTCAGATCTTTAAAATAGAAAAGGGGGCCTTTGGTTTTTATACCTTGCCTTGTCGTAGAAACATGTACTCAAGTCTACAGTGTAATGGTCCATATATCAGTTTACTTACAACAAATGACAATGAGGAAATGCATGTAGTGAGCAAACGAAAAACATTTTGCATGATAATCGAATTAGAGTCATTTCTGTCTCCCACCAGGCAATATCACTGCAAAAGCTGTAAAGCATACCCACAGCCATCATTTAAAGGAGCGTGAGGGTTTATTTATGTATTTATTTTACAAACTACGACAGTGATTGACTTGAAGGTATGTGCTCTTTTAAACAATAGTAAATCCTAGTTGAAGGTTGCTCACAAGTAGTACTGTATTACATTTGCATCTGTTATAAAGTTCCATGGCTCCAAACTTTGTCATTTCAATTATATGTACTATTTAGATATAAGTGACTCTTTGCAGAATATTGTTTTTAAACCCTTCATGATACAAGGTAAGAAAAAAAAACGTAAAAGCTGAGCCTAATTTTTCAACCTTGGCATGTGGTAGCCTCCCTAGCGGTCTGATTATGTCAGTATTTCTGTACTCAAAGCGGTACATTTTTTTGCATGGAAATATGTATTTTTTTTATTGTAGGTCTGAACTCACTGAAATCTGTCTGAGCAAAAGTCTAGTAAACATCCCGGGTATGTTAAAATTTGAAACACGAAATCATACATTATAATTTAATAAATAATCATAAAAAATAATAATATATAATAATAAAATTTAATTCAATAATATAATCAAACCAAAAACACTGAAATTTGAAATAGAGCGCCAAGTTCGCACATCACTGAGCAAAGTCGCAAAATCGTTTTCAGTTTCTGATGACAAATTTCCCCACGAATCATTATCACTCAATTCTGCAAGTAGTTCTAATTTACTATCGCTGTTCTCTAGCTGGTCTAAAACCGATTTTGACCTAAAGGAAAGCTTTTTGGACGCCATGGACATTTCTCAGTTTCAAGGCAGAAAGAACAGTAAAAATGCAGGCAGGGCACAGGACAAAGCACTACGGATAAAATGTATGTGAAATGGTTTGATACAGTAATGTTTTGCATTGTGATTTTAGTGTATTTAGTGAATGTCACTTTTTCACATTTTTAAATTTCCCGCCGTTCTGTCCCCCGTACGTCCCAACGTCGCAGGGAATGGAACCCAGAAGACAGATGCTGGCATCGGCCGGAGGACATTGCCGGGACACTGCAGGAGGGACATCACGGGAGTGCAGGACAAGGTAAGTGAAGAAGAGATCCCCAGCGCTGCAGGGTATTCCCGAGTGTAGCTCGGGGTTACAGCTTGTGGTACTGAAACTTTACCCCAAGCTACACTCGGGAATACCTCCAGGGAGGTTAATAACAATGTACCTATCATTGCAACTACTTATTATATCCAAAAGAAACAAAAAACTACCTGATATATACTTATACTTTAAGATTGGGCTTTACATGGGAAATTTTAATAGAAAAACATCAGCAAGGGTGCGTTATACTCACACACCAAACCTACTATGATCTAAAACTTCACTTTTATTCATAACTGTCTAAAAATCTACAATGTAGAAAATTAAAGGAAGTCATAAAAATGCCAGGTGTATAACCTTTTAGGGCAATGTGGAATTAGTGCAAAAATACAAAAAAATGGAACAGATATGCAACTGCCTTAATTATAGGGAGATAACAACCAGACAATAGGTATGTTTTTAGCTTCCGTTGGTCAAAAGTTCTGTCTGAGTGGAGATGTGTATAGGGTAGGGTCAGTATCCTGGCCTCTTGCCACAACCCAAAGGCATAGATTGATATTAAGGGTTACTGTGGTCACTAAAAAGGCTCAAATGCCAATCAAAATCAAAGATTCCACAGTACCCTTCCAGCCTGGTAAAAAATATATACACACTAATATTTATCCACTATTTCCACCGATCCACAGGAATCTCCCTTTTCCTCCTACAACTAAATTTGCAAAAAATATAAGTGCCCATAATGAGAAATAAAGAGCAAAATATGAAAAAAACCATAAAAAATCTCTTAACCCAACATGTTTTGCCTAACAGCAAGGCTTCATCAGAGGTGTACAATGCATAAAGTGTGTCTAAAGAAGGCACATGGCAAATGGTAGCTGCTTGTAGTGCAAAGCTATATATAAAATGTGATGGGGCATGGCTATGTCATCTTATGGCCCCATATGATGTCACACATGCATTATGATGTTATTTTGCTTCATGGCATAAATATACATTAATGCATGTGTCATGATAAAATAATTGTCCAAAGGTCCAAACGGCTCAAAATAATGTCCTGATGCGTAACTCAGTACAATCCCCATAAATGTTTTATGCCCTCAAGTGACCAAAGTGTATTACACCATCCTACCTCCCTATAATGCAAAAAATAATCACACTGCAAGCCATATTTGCCATTAACAAGACTTCCTCAAACCTTTACAAATATATGTATTCCAAACTACATTTCTACTCCAAAAGGGACCTTTAACTTCCTGTATGACCTAAAATTTCAAACATTCTGGTTTACCCTGATGTTCTGACCAAATGTGTCTTGCTATTGATCTGTCTTTCTTGAGGATAACATCATTAGTGTGTTCCAACATTCTTCATCTTAACTGTCGGATCGTCTTTCTGACGTAAAAGAGAGGACATGGACATTGTGCTGCATTGACTACCCCACTTGAACTGCAATTGCAAAAAGACTGAATGTCTATCTGTTCACCATTTTTTGGGTTCATAAAAAGCTTAATAGTTGCTATATATGCAGATGTCTTGTAGAGTCCACAACGCAAAGAGCCATTTGGTCTTTTTGGGAGCCATGGAGAATCATTAGGTACTGTTGGAACCCTTGCTAGATGACTATGGACCAAAAGGTCCTTAAGATTCTTTCCCTTCCTATAGGTAATGAGAGTGCTCTTTGGAAGAAATGTTTTAAGATCTTTGTCATCAAGCCGGACTTGCCAATATTTTTTATTGATATTATATACAGTATGTATCCTGATTGGCATGAATATGTGCTTATGATCCTTGTTTCCCTTTTGTCCTCGTATTGTGTTGACATCCCAATAGCAAGTCTCTTGATAATGGTTTCACCCTGGTATCTAACCTCCACAAGTCTCTTCTGCAGTATCCTCTGTAAGTAAATCTCTCAAAGAGTACTCCACATTCCTTTTCAAGCTGCACCTATGTGAAGCAATTACGTTTTGCCCTCATGAGTTGACCTGTGGGGATTCCCCTTTTCTAGGGACTTGTGGTGACTACTTGTCCTGTAAAGGAGACTGTTGGTTGAGTGGGTTTTTGATAGATGGTAGTGCATATTGCCCCACTCACATCTCTGCTAATTTTTAGATCCAGGTAAGTTATACCTTGTTTTGTTCAGGACAAACTGGGCTTTCATTTGTGGTAAATAGTAATGGATATTTCCTGATACTATGTATCTTTTTCTTTAATAATGGGAGAGAAAGTTCTGAAGAGGGTTCTACAACTAGCAATCGGTGTGATAGCCAGTTTTCCTGGCTGCTGATCATAAGTACAAGACCTGGAGCTGTCAATGACAGCTCAGTCTCCATTCTGGGAGTACTCAATTGCACACATATATGCAGTGCCATGGTAAAAGTCCCACCTCTGTGAAGCCACATGTACATATGCTATCCGTGAGAGAATGGATTAAGTGGTTCCATATAAGAATATACAACATTATACCATTGCTTGAATTTTTTAAATATTTTACAAACAAAAAGTAAAGCTTTAAAAAGTTTTTTGGCTGGTGGGGTGATGGGTGCATTTTTTTTTTTTCGTGGGAGGAAGGGGGGTGTCATGGTAGATAAACACTTACATTTCTTTTCCCCCCACAATTTAGGCTCAGTTACTGTCTATTGCAATTTCTTGCAGGAAGCTACAATCTGATAATAGAAAGCTATGGGAAATGTGCATAACTGGTATTTTCTATTTCCAGTGTTGTGATTTATGTGTTCTTTTTTTCATTTCATCTTTTATATTTGTTTTATGGCTTTAATAAAACGATTAAACTGTGTTTTTTTCTGTATTTTTTTAAATATAACATTGATTATTTAATGGCCCTTTTGTAGGTGATTGAAGGATTATCACCCACTAGTTTGCCAATGATTGGATCTTCTGCCAAAACAGACCAATGATTTTGTAATATCTTTCATATTTTTACATGTTCATTAGAATATTTCAAGATGACCCTAACTTCCTCCTTGTTGGTCCTTTGATGATCTTTAGATTTAAATAAAAGATCATGTCTCTCCAAATTTTTTACACGATTAAAGGTCTTTTTCAGACCTGTTTTTGTGTATCCTTGTGCTAATAATCTTTTTTTAAACTCATCTGCCTCTTTCTGAAACATTTTTTTGCTAAGTTTGGTTATTAATTATCATTCTAGAGTGTAATCATATCCCTGAAGAAGAATTTATTATAAGCATGCAAAACACGTGGATTCCAGGCAGAATATATCTGTAATCAAAGTTTGGGGTTGCAAGATGGAAATCAGTTATGGGGGATACCACCAGACCCATATTGGAATGTATCTTAATATATGAATTCAACAAGTAACAAGATTGTTGTGTAATATGTCTGGAAATATTTTGATATTTCTTTTGTATGTGTTTGGAGAGCAAAACACTTTTAATGATACATTGGATGTATACAAAAAAATGTTTTTTCTTTTTTTAAAAAAAGTGGTTTTCTTGTGCAATTTAAGGTTGCCTTAAAAATCCCACTAAACGTAAGATAAAAATCTGTTACATTACTGTGTTATAGGTGTGGCTGGGAATACAAAGACTGTTGTATTAATGCTGTCGAAAGACTGCATCATATATGTACATTTTAATTTCATCCACAGTTTAACTTTAAACTGATTTTGGTTTAGACTACAAAGCCAATCTATGAAATCTATTGACATCTGTTTTACAGCTGAAAAGTCAGTGCGATAAATAAATAGGTAAAACATGGGGAAAAATAAAGAAAATAGAAACAATTAGTTACTTTCCTTTTGTCCTTTTTGTTTACCACTAGTTCATTAGAGTAAAAAATCCTCCTACTCACACTATTAAGAAACATTCATATATTTTCTAATCTATGGTAGCATATTTTAGTATATGTAAATGAGAACTAATTTTTTTTAAACATTTTGAAAAGTAAATGAGAAAAACATTACTGCTATGTAAACTATAGCAGTAATGTTTTTCGTTAACTTTTCAATATCATTTTACAAATCTTTGAAAAGGATCACCATTGCTTTGAACTTATCTGCATTTATTTTCTCAAGTGCTGTTATTGATTTTACTTTAAACTCATGGGGTATGATTACAAAAGGCTAGCAATGTAATCTGTAACTGCAAATGTTCACTATGCCTCTCTTTAATGTTAGGTCTTTTTATAAAATACTTTGAAAAATTAAGATGCAAAGTGGAAAAATGTATCTAAATGTGACAAACTTGCAAGTTAATGTTTACATAGTAGTAGCATAGTCGAGTGAAAAAAAGACATGCTTACAATATTTAAAATCCTAGCTGGTAAATCAATGCAAGAGATTTGCATCAATTTCTTGATGCACAGAACCCACTAAGACCTAAAATAACTTTCATTCATATACAGCTAAAAAATAATGTATGTTGGCAAGAATGTAAAAATCAAGAACCTGTAGGCGGATACAGGGATAAAAAAAATCTAGTAGGAGTATTCAAAATGAGTTTTCCATGGAGAGAAACATACCCTTACTTATGTTCAAAAACTGGTCATACAAATGAGTGCCTCCCACACCACTTTTTTTTCAATTTTACCTTGCATGCTCTGATAATATAAAACACATCAATAAGTGAACAGCTCAAATGCAAAACTCAACATATTTCACCCATAAAAGGGCTTCTTCAGGAGTGAAAAAAGTGTCTGTTTGAAAAAATAATTTGCTCAAACACAAACAACATGTTCAACGAAGCAACCACCATCTATAACCCTTATTTATATATTTTAATCACCACTAGGAGGCAAACAGTTCAGACAGGAGCTCTATCATACTCAGAGAGCTCAACTGTAGCCAGTTGGCAAACTACTATTGATCATGGCCATATCAAGGGGTTGCTGGGGTGGGCTAAGCCCCCCAAGATTCCAGTGGCACCCCCCAAAGCCAACAGCCCTCTCCCGCCTCTACTCCCGGACACTCTGTCAGATCACGCATAGTGACAAGCAGCAC